TGCGGCTTTGCTGCTGCTCGCTTTCTGCGCCGGGAACTGTGTGCGGAGTGCTGCCGCCACATCGGCTGGACACAATGTAAACGGTTCGTCCACACCATCGTCATCGCTGTTGGCGTCTGCTTCCGCGCTGGGCCGGACACGATATACCGACAAGAAATTACCCACGTGGCGCTTTGTTTCGGCGCAAGGCAACCGAAGCAGCCACTCTCGCAGAGCATCTTCCCACGTCTCATTGGATCCCAACAACTGACTTAGGTGAGGGACTTGTGATGTGGCCCGCGTCAGGTCTAAAGTCCAGGCTCGAAAATAAAGGCACGTCAATCGGGCGTTGCGATCCGCGGCATCAGCCCAGCGCTGCGGTACCGGAGCATTCGCGAAATGAGGACACCGTGGGCGCACACGGCGCTGCAAATACCAGTTGTGTCGAAGCACTGCAGTGGCCGCAGCGGATGCGAAATAAACGCGGTCGCAGGAACGCAGGACTTTCAACCGGTAATCTGTGCTCGGCTTCAATTTGGCAGCGGTGTGGAGCGGGCTTTGCAACAATTTTTGTTCCCCGACCGGGGTCAGTGCTACATCCCAGGCGTCGGGACTAGCTGCTTCCCATTCGGCGCGGGAATGCGGAATGCGCGCTGGAACCAACTCCCAGTGCATGGTGAACTCGTATGGGGACAGCCACCAGCACTCGGAGTCCGACGGCCGATGACTATATGCTTGTCCAGTTACCGCTTCCCGCACATGCTGCGCTCCGGATCCTGGTGCCTTCCGCGTTCGAACATATGCTATATTGGTCCCGGCCTCTTTTCCGTCCAACCTTTCCAGTAGCTGTAAATAAACGTGTCCAGGAAACACGGTGAAGTTGCACGAGGACACACGTTCCGCGGCTACAATCGAGCCATCGATGTGGTTGGCACGCAGATTGCAACATTCAACTTGGCCGCGCACCAGGCCTTTGCAGTAGGCGTCACTTAAAAAACGGTTTGCATGTCTTTTGCCAATATGCTCCACGTCTGCCTGCTTTAAGGATGCATGTAAAGCGATGTGCCCTTTCTGAAATTCTTTGATCTCGTGGAACCCCATGGGCTGATTTTTAGAACAATAATCGCTGCAATAACCTGTTTGCGCATCTTGGGCACGCTGGGCTGCTAACGCTATGAGTTGTTTCTCTTTGCCCGACAGCGAGTCGCCACACGTTGCACACGCGTATGGCAACCTGTATGGCACTTGGACGTCATTGTTCCCACCACGCATCCCCGCTAAAAGTGCTGGATGGCAAGGATTCAAGTACGGATGCCCGTACGGACCATGAAGGGCCCCTAGCCGATTCTTGCGACCCGTTAGACTGAAGCCATGAGATTGGAGCTGGCATGGGCAAAGCACTTTTGCACGGTCGGCCAGCCACTGATCGCGTGGGAAGTCTGATTTGCATATGCCCATGTTTTCTTTCTTCTGGCAGCCTCGCAGTGGCATGCGTTCGCCCGTTTCCACGTTCAGCGGGTGGTAATGATGCTGCTTCAGATACTGCAACTTGACGACGTCATGCTCGAGGTAATCTTGCCCCCACTGTTCGGCTTCGGTCAGATCTCTGGCCCCCTGCGCCCGTCGCTGCTGATATCCTGGGATTGTTGTCATGTGCGCGTCCTCTGCGTGCTCAGGCCACGTACTTTCTGCTCCTTCTATGCCTTCACGAATGCTATCCTTGCCTTGGCCGCTGTAGACAGCATGCGCAACGTGCGCTTGATACTTGCAGTATTCTTGCCGCAAAGCTTCTAATCGCCAATGCGGAAGCTGGAAAATTTCTGTCAGCGGCGTGTGTTGGTGCAAGCACTGAACAAAACATTGTATGTGCCCATGCAATGATCCAGTTGACTTTTGGGCTTCAATTGTGACGTATATGGCATCAACGCGTCCAAACGCTCCACCTAAAAGGCTCGCGTTGCTGCCAGACGTGTCGCTGCATGGTGTTGCAGTCATGTCACAGTCGGGGCAAAGCTCGCACATTCGCACGCCAAAGATGTGACGACAGAGCAACCGCAGTAAAACGTGAAAACCATCAACGGACGCCAAGGGATCACGGGCCAACACGGCACGGCGCTGCTGCCAGGATGGGAGCGCGCGACAGAAGTTTTCGAGATGGATTGGGAAGCAAAGGTCGCCATCTAGCGATGGGAACTGCCGATCTCCTGAGCACCACTCCTGCCACACCGGGGCGCTGCGCACTGGATCGGATGCGCGTGTCCGCGACATGCGAATGAAGAGCCACTGGTGCGCCTCATCGGGCGACACGGTGATGAACAACGGCACGCCGTAGCGGACCCGCATCGCTTCAATTTCAAAGCGCATTTGGTGTCTTGCTTCTTGCGTTCCTGGCAAGCTGCGGGCCGTCTGTTTCATATTTTTCAACAGCTTGCGCGCGGCGGGGCGCAGATTCCGAACATATGACAACTTGGAGATATCGCCATTCACGGGTCGAAGGTTCCCACGGACATCCGCATACGTTCCACTCAATGCATTCAGTAATTGCAAGGCACCAGCTTCAACTTCTTCGGCACGCAGTGCGCGAAATTTTTGTTCGACTTCATCAAAGATTGGCGCGTTGTATGGGGACAGATTCCGAGACAAATTGATTGCCGACCGGAAATACAAATTCCAGGTCGTGAATCCAAATGTCCAATCCCGATTGATTTGCGATTCGCAACGCCGGGCCATGCAACGCATCCAGGTTGAGAACTCGACGCGCAAAGCATCCGGTGGGCGCCGGTGCCGAAGTTTGGGGCTCCAGCTTGGCGGATCCGGCATTCCACTCCCATACGGGAAGAGAAAAGCAAAGGCAAACGCAAAATACCACGGTTCGAATTGATCCAACAAACGGTTGCCAGTGTAAACCACCGCGGTGGTGGTTTCAGCTTTGCACGCCTCAGCTGTCCCCACCGCCGCCTGCAAGGCTGCCACGTGTGTTGCATTAGGATCAGCGAAGCCAGCGCTCGTGCGCTCGCTCACTACAGCGTTCGGCTTGCACATGTGCGCAAATTATATAAATTTAGGGATCTCCAAACGATTGGATAGAAAAAACAGAACAAGGTAAATCAGCTCGACGAGTATTTAGCAGTTTACCGCCCCCCGCTCGCCGCCCCAAGCTACCCTGCCTGGGGTCGGCGGCAGGGGGCGTAGCCCCTTAATAACAACCTACACTGATAGAATCTTCCAAGATTGGAGTGCCAAAATGTTTCTTGATAAGGGTTTGATAGATCAGATCAGGTATGTTGCCTACGCGCACGGGATGGCAGAAAACAAGGCAGATAGGTGGGGACTTTCGCACTTAGAACCTCCTAAATCACAGCCTACACTGGAATCAAAATCTGGTTGGTGTGCCAACATGTTTCTTCATAAGGGTCTTATACATCAGATTAGATGTTGCCTATGCGCACGGGATGGCAGGGAACCATGCAGAACCATGCAGAACCACGCAGAACCATGCACAACCATGCACAACCATGCAGAACCATGCAGAACCATGCAGAACCATGCAGATATGTGGGGACTTTCGCACTCAAAAAACTCTTAAATCACAACCTACACCTTGATAAGGGTTTTGTAGATCAGATTAGATGTTGCCTATGCGCACGGGATGACAGGGAACCATGCAGAACCGCGCGGATAGGTGGGGACTTTCGCACTTAGAACCTCCTAAATCACAGCCTACTCTGGTAGAATTAAGATCTTCCCAGATTGGAGCGCCAACATGTTTCTTGGTAAGGATTAAAGATCAGATTAGATATGTTGCCGGTTTGCACGGGATGGCAGGGAACCATGCAGATAGGTGGGGACTTTCGCACTTAGAACCTCCTGAATCACAACTTACACTGATAGAATCTTCCCAGATTGGAGTGCCAACATGTGTCTTGATAAGGGTTTGATAGACCAGATTAGGTATGTCTTATCCTTAACCATCATTCCCCGAACTTTTTGAGCCAAACGGTCAGATTCACCAGGCATATATATCTATACATAAGGTTTCAACCTGACATTCAGGAGCTATAGAACCGTTGGCACCACTATATATATATACATATTGCTCATAAGGATATGTCATATAGATATTCTACCATCACTAGTATATATATATAGCTATGGAAAATCTAATTTTTAGTGGGTAAATCAACTATAAATGGTCATGTTCAATAGCTATCAAAATAAACAGGTTTGTGCTCCGATCTCAAAGGATAGTGGTCAAAGCTTGAGTTCATATATTGTCAAAATATGTAGACGTTATATAACTGATCTTGATATTATTTAAAATCATGATGATTTTCAGAGGTTCTAAGTGCGAATCTCCCCAACTATCTACATGGTTATAAACATATGTAGATGTTAACTCATATCATTGAAGATACTCATGATTGTGAGAGGTTCTAAGTGCGAGTCTCCCCAACTATCTACATGGTTATAAACATATGTAGATGTTAACTCATATCATTAAAGATACTCATGACATAGGCAGAGGTTCTAAGTGCAAGGTTTTTTAGGTTCTAAGTGCGATTTGCTCGTGAGTCGATTTTTTTTGGAAATTTTCCAAAATTGGTTCTAAGCATTTGTCCGGCGCTATAAATGCTTGACTGCCGTGATCTAGAAGCCCAACCAGCCACGTGCTCCCAGAATAGTTTCCTTTTCCTAGCTTGCGCCGCTTTTTCATAGTTCACCAAATGGGCCAGGGCACTGGATACCGTATCCAGGCCCAGCTTGGAACAAGGGTGAGATATGACCCGTGGAATTTGCAGACTGAAGTCAAGGATGATATTATTTGCCAAATAGTTGTCGGATACTGTTGGGAGTTCTTTGACTCAGGGTCTCTTTGTTGGATAAGCCTCTTTATGTATTTTTTGCTAAAAACTTGTAGAATCTATGGATAGTTTTTTCCCCATTGGCCGTTTGATCCACTTGCTTGTCGTTGATCCCGACACAGAAGCCCGTACCCAGTCTGTGTGGTCCCTCGGCCCTGCCTGTATCCTGGATCTGTGATCTTAGGCCACCCTCCTTGAGCGAGAAGACCCCGGATGTCCTTCCAATGGCCAGCAAGCATATGGGTTCCCATATGGAAGCATGATCAAACCATGGATTGGATTCCATTGCATCCAGGGCTAGCCGAATTTTCTGACTCCGCTGCACGAAAACGATGCTCCGCTTGAGACATCTTGAGGCTGCTTGAACTGTGTCCTCCCAAACCTCTGGAGTAACAAGGTCCTGCATTGTCTTGCAGCAGCTGCTTGTCGCACGGGCCCCTCTCTTAGACATCTATGGCTACAAGTACCTTGAATATAGTCGTGATCATGTCAACTTAAAACATGTTTGCCGATGTCAAATTGCCATTCCATACAGTACCTACTTTGGGACGAAATGCGGTGAGAAACTATTTGGCGCCCCGGTCTGGAAGAGCGAATCCTTCTGGGATCAGTTTCCATTTATGGGCTCCCACAAAATCAATCACGAGCTTATCGCCCATTGCAGCTTTTCAAAATCCCCCAAAGGATCCATGATCTTGCCGATTCCTGAGCATTGGATACTCCAGATCCTTCGGATTTCCTTCTTCTTGTTCCTGGATAAAGCCGCGAAAGTTCTGCGGTGGCTCTTCTAGAACAGCGCGGAAGTTCATCCTGCACAACATGAAAATGTGGCAGTGCCATCATGAAACGGAAAAAAACAACAACACTTGTTAGATGAAACCTTAAGGCATCCTGAAATATGCTGAGCATAAAGCGATGACCAACCATCCAATGACCTGCTTTAATTCTCTTGAAACTCCAGCCTTTTGCAGCCTGGTGGGTCCAAATAGACCCCGGGTGTTGAGTCGATGAGACTGACCTGGGCCACAACTTGCAATCTTCAACTTGGGCCCACTGCGGGTGGTCTGTGTCAAATGTCCTCCAAACTCTTGCTCTCTTGCTTGTCTAAAGCGGAGCTGAACATGTTTCTCCCCCAAAAAATATATTGCCCGCTTTCTTGGCTTTCCCTCCCTCTACGATTGCCTACGCACTTTTTTTTAATTTTTGCCTTTCCTTTCCTTGGCCTACTTTCTTTGCAAGAACTTGGGGGAAACACGCCCATGATTACACACAAGGATCAAACCACAGGAGGCCTTTTTTTTGGGGTGTGTGGATGGCACTTGCGGCTTGGCCTCCAACATGCACCAATGCTTGACGAGTCACAAGTTGCTGTTGTGTCAGCTTCACTCCAGTCAGGAGCTGCCAATACCTGAGCTCGCAGAAACCAACGTTGGCCAAAGGATGCGCGCATGCTTGAAAACTGCAACAAAATCAGGGTATACCTCCTTCACTTGATGCTCCTCATCCTCCTCCTCCTCCCCTCGTCCTCATAATCATAATCATCATCATCATCATCACCATCCTCATCATCCTCCTCATCCTCCTCATCCTCCTCATCCTCCTCATCCTCATCCTCCTCATCCTCCTCATCCTCATCCTCCTCATCCTCCTCATCCTCATCCTCCTCATCCTCCTCATCCTCCTCATCCTCCTCATCCTCCTCATCCTCCTCCTCCTCATCCTCCTCCTCCTCATCATCATCATCATCTCACAAAGAGCACACACACACACACACGCGCGCTGGTCACTCAATGTCACACAAACGATTGCCGGACGAACCCCCAGAGTGCAAAGTCCAAGCTTCCACTGCAGCACACCTCCGCGTGGGATCGCTTCGTCTACATAGAGTGAACAAACGATCCATCGCATGAGGCCCTGCGTTTTGCCAGGGCCCCTTGACACATCCAGGACATGCGATTGAACCAACTACGTAGGATCGGAATATCTCTAAAAGAACGGTTAAAACAATACCATACAAAACACTTGAGCCGCAGTCTACATCAGTTGTTTACGCCTGGTGCGAAACTGTGGGTTATCGCTTTTGCTTTTTTGGGTGGCTTATCGCTTTACACTGTGTTGGTCAAATCAAAATTGCAGCGAATTTGCTTTTCATCAACGATTTCCAAAAGCAGCGTCATCAAAGATTTCCAAAATCTGGTGTTCTTTGTTTTTTGTAAGTTGTCAATGGGATCAAATGAGTCTATCCCTTATTGAATTCCGAATTCAATGGCATTTAGATTTCAAAAAACTAATTCACAATTAAAGGAAAAAGGAAGGAAATAATTAATTGAATGTTCTTCATCAAATTTGCACTTTGCGCGAATGTACACCATGCAAGTCTTGCATTTTATGGAAACATGAAGTCAGACAAGTTCAAGGACAAGTGTTTGAACCTCGTTCCGTACAAGAGAACATGTGCATGAAGGAACACGATTTTACGCTTCCAATAACAAAGACTTTCACACAAACGCAAGAGCAAACAACCAAGAAAGCTTTTCACCAAATTTAAGTTCGGGATGCATTGCGTATACTCAAAAGCAGCAACTAGAGAAATCTTTTCAAATGCACGGAAGCGGCGCCTGCGGAGTCAAGGCATCATCTTCAGCCATGTTGGAAAATAAATCAAGCTAAGCTTGTAGTAATGTGAGAGATGCTACCAAACGCTATTGAAGTATCTTCCAGTGCCGATTTGCGTGCTGTTGCCAAATCTCTTGCGCGTATAAATTTTGGGTTCCCCGGTCCATATGAAGAGATCACGAGGTGCTATGTATGGCACTGAAGTTTCTAGCATGAATGTGTTGATCCTAACGTCAGATGAATTCTGATTTTGTGGCCCTTTTCAAGTCTCGTGTGGCAAGTATCCTGGGCCCATCTGGGCCCTGCATCTTGAATGGCAGCAGGACCAACGTGTCATCTTGAACATTTTGAGTAGGGTCAGGCATTTCTGTATCACGTTGATTTCTGCCCGTGAGATAACATGAGAAGCTACCACTGAATCACCTTGGGAAAGAATATGAAGTGCCCATGGCCATGAACATAGCAGGAAATCCTGAGATTGCAGTGTCACTTGACAAACTGATTACAGTATCCAGATTCGGAGGTGCACATCATGGACTCAGCCACCATTTTGGCGGAGCTTGCTCGCCGTGCTGGCTTGGCCAAGAAAGGCGTCCCCCCCATCAGTCCTTCAAAGACAAACAACAGACTTTCATAATCTTTGCATAAGTTTTCCCCCGTCATAAAAATGAACGACCCAATTGCTCTCCATGACATGTTTGGAGTCGAGCTGACAACTTGATCCAAATATCCACGGGGGCTTGTGCAAAGGATTGCAAAAAGGCATACCCAAAGTCTCAATTCCAGGTTGAATATCGCTTGCCATTGGCTTGTCCCACAGTGACCCTTGCAATGCAAAATGGCAATGCAAAAGGCAAAAGCAACACAGTGTGTCACAGTCCTGCATTGGTCTCCTCAAGCAACACCCGCCTCATGAACATGCGGTGTGAACAACCTCGCTGTCAGTCCCTAAACTCATTTTTCCAGGAAGGTGTAAAAAAACATGCATAAACTGCGAACAATTCTCTCACATAGAACTCTCATAAATTCTCTCCAAAAACAAGCTATGCATTCCAGCTTTAGAATGTTTGGCGCGACTCCACAAGGTAGCGAAGGAAATTACAGCAACCACTGCTGCAAACTGCGGCGGGTGGAAAGTGGAAACTCTGCTCAAGCTGATTGCTGTTGTGTGGCAGTGGGTCCGCACAGCAATCTTACCTAAGAAATCCTTAAAAGGTAGACAGCACCAAACAAATCCGTGTTGCACGAACAAGGCGGGCTTGGAATTGCTTGCAGGCATGATTGATATTGATTGATCATGCATGGAAAGGATTGCAAGGGTAGTGCTAAGATTCATTCGGGTGAGCGCCGCCTGGTGTACATCACAACCTCCGTGTCGTCAAGGCCCTTCAGGGATGTTCTGGGTGGCTCTGAGGACTGCAGTGGTGGTGCCTCAAAATTGACAGTGCCACAGGACTCATTGGATCACATTGGATCACCAATATATTCAATATGAAGAATATGATGATGAGAATATAGTGGAGTGCGACACAGGTGATGAAGATGCAGGTCTGGCTAAATGGTGCACGAGGTTCGCTTCACTTTCTTTAAATTTGGCATGTTGATTCACCCACGAGGCATGACCGGCATGACTTTGCTCGCCCAAAGCACAACCGATCACGCTAAAATCCCCAGCCGGTGTGTGCCAGGGCTGCACCAATACACGCATCGAGAACTTTTAAGTGCTGACTTCCTTACACTTACAGTCTTGGCATATCTTGGTGTATTGTGACCCACTTTGCTTTGAAGTTGCCCAATATCTCGAAAAAGGACAATAAAGAGGAGAAGACGAGAGACGGAAACTATCTATTTTGTAAAAGCAAGTGGCTCTCCAGCGCTTCCAGGTAGGCAAGATCGCCTTTGGGCTGCCATTGGACGGCAACAAAAGCTGAGACTATGATTCTGCGGCCATGCAGGATAATCAATCAAGCCCATGCAACAAATGGGTAAAGATAGAAGGCAATGGGTGAAAACGGGTGAACATCGGTGCATTCTCAGTCTAAGATGTCTAAGAAAATGCAATACTGCTGCAATTTCAGCTATGCTTCACCGTGGTATATGACTGTTCTCGAGAACTTCCCCCTGCTTGGTCCAGTCACTACAACAATGAAGATAATGAAGCCCTTTGGGGAGAGCCATCACTTGAAGAAGGGAAAAGGAAACCGCTTGGAAAATGGGCACTATGCGGTTTGAGTGCTTTGGATGCTTGTCTTGGCTTCTTGGTTCGTGGCACTTCTGACCTCTGAACTCTTTGACCTTGCGCCAGGTGGGACATCGGTCCCAGGCTTCTGAACATGAATCTGATTTCTGGCGTGCCCTTGCCAATTTGGTCTCCATATACAGCAAGACCTAAGGAAAACGGCGCTACAATGCGCTACACATGAGGCCCTGGAGTATCAAATGAATTCAATTATATAATTACAAATGCACGAAATAAGTGTAAGAAAAAGTGTAAGAAAAGTGTTGCTCCGAAGATTTCATGGCCTGCGAGAGCGGCTGGAGATACTTGGCACCTAGCTTTGCAACGTCAAGTCTTGTCAGTGTGACTTGAGAATGCCTGATGAGCTGCGGCTCAGAAACCGTTAAAGATCGTTAAAGGATGCGAGGGTTCGAAAAATAGAAGAACATAGAAAAACTATATTATTTATCATTCTTTGTGGTATTGCCAGCTGCTACAAGAATGACATGTACAAAATTTTACAAAGAGTGGTGTTTGAGATCAGCCCTTTGAGAGTCGCCCACCAAACATGCGTCAATCACACAATGGGCCAAACTCTTTGCATCTGCTTCTGCTCATTTCTACATATTTCTGCTCTCTTTATTCTGCTCATATACCGATCATTATGCACCTCGTTCTGTTCCTCGGCCAGTACTCTCCTGCAAAAATCTGCAGAATGTACTGGTATGGTTTGATCTTCCATGTGCTTCTCATCCATCCCTCGGAAAGCCTCCTCCAAAATGTTGGCGACGTGGTAGGGCTGGGAGCCCTGACTCAAAATGGTGAAGAACGTGTCAAGATCAACTTATGCCACACCACTGCTAAGATGTCAAGAATGAACATGAATAAGGATAATTTGAGAAGTACGATCTGAGAAACATGATCATTTTTGTTTGAAACTTGAAACTTGCATGCAAACAAAGGCCTCTCCCTTAAAGGTCTGGAGATGCCATGGGAAGCACCTCAGCACTGCATGGAGGAGGAAACGTGCGTAAACGTCATGATGGAAACGACAAGGACCGACAAGGGCTGGCTGGACGCTAGGACGGACAGAAAGGCCATTGATACATTTTGGTGCAAATCAGGACCAAGAAAGTGCTCACTGATTCTGGCTAGCCTGATCAGAGAGTATAGGGATGAAATCATCCAAGTTTGCAAGCATGAGGTTCTACAGCAAGTGGGTGAAGTGATAGAATGCCGTAAACTTCCTTGACTTCAATGCTCCAGCTTTGACCAATGGTTCAGTTATTCATGTTGAAGAAGTGCTGAGCTTTGCCAAGTCTGAGTGTCCTGCTCGAGCCCACCGGGCTACTACACTCAGAGCCACAGGTTGTATTGCTAGTGCCAGGCCTGCAAGTAGCCATAAGTAGCCCCAGCCAAGCACAATTTCCAAGAAATCATGTGGAGCTGAGCTCAATGGCACATCACTGTCAAATACAAAGTCAAATACAAAGTCAAATGCTGTCACTGAGCCGACTTTGCTCGTCCAAATTTCAAACTGGAGAGGTAAAACAGCCGACCAGCCTGGAATGCATCCCGCGCAGCCGTGGCGTCTGAATTGCTGCCTGATCATTTCCACTCCACGCTACTCCCCATGAAACCGAACAAAAGGAGCCATGTAGATTTACAGTAGAGAGATTGAGACAGAGGGAGAGAGACAAAGAACAAGCAAAGATACCACAACTTTATACAAGTTTAATTGCGTGCCATACTCTGCCATTTTTCGAAAATTATATAACAGGTGCAAGCCTGTCGTAGGTCATAGGTCAAAGTGCCAGCTGGCAAGAACAAAGCGTCTCAAATTTGCCTTGAGTTTTGCCGGAAGACCGGGGACTTCCTCAGTTCGAACAACGATTCGCCGTGGAGAGGCAAAACACATGAAACTTGAGGCCGGGGGTGGATGACAGCTAGCGGGGTAGGAGAAAGAAGGAAGGGAAGAGGTGAGTTGCGGAGGGACTGTCATCATCGTGTCGCGGCATTGTTCGTCCCAACGAGGATGCAACAATGATATATGATATATGATATATAACAATGATATATTATATATATGGGGGAGGGGGCAGGGGGGGGGCCCTTTCGCGGGAAAAATAATTGGAAAAATCACGTGATGTCCTTGGGGAGCCCCGGAATACTTGCTAAAGTAAGAAGACTCTAGCGAGCTGACGCTAGCTTTAGTGATAATGCCAATAATTGCCAATAATGATAACATGTAATTGAATAACGATGATGATGATGATGATGATGATGATGATGATGATTATGATGATGATGATGATGATGATGATTGATGATTGATGAATGATGAATGATGAATGATGATGCATGATGCATGATGCATGATGCATGATGCATGATGCATGATGAATGATGAATGATGAATGATGATGCATGATGCATGATGAATGATGAATGATGATGAAATAAAGGGTTGTTTAGTTTACATAGGAAAACTTAGACTTGACCTCGTGATGGGTCTCACGAGATGGTCCCTGCCGCCTCTGAAAGCCTTCCAGTCCAAATGTGTGTCCTACCAGTAGTAACTCCGAGCATCTGGTAGTACAGTAACTCCTAATATATCATAATATATCCTGTGTCCTATATAGATCTACTACACGCACATTATATAATATAGGTGATTGATTGCTGAAACCCACTCCGGTCGGCTCAGACAGGCAACCCCTGCAGCTCTCACAGAACGATACAAGCGCAAAGGCCCAGGCGGCCTCTACAAGAGAACATCCACAATCAATCTCTCTCTCTCTCTCTCCACTGGATTCTGCAACACAAAATTGACGGGTTTGCTGATTTTTGATGTCCCGTCAAATTGAGAGAGGCGTCCCACGTGCACCACGCCTTACCATGGGCTCCTGGTGGATGTACACACCGCACTTCTTAACTTCTTCAGCGGCTCGTGCGCAGAAGTCCTGTTTGGAAGCAACATGCTTTGTGTCTTTGTTTGTGTCATGCAATATCTGAGTCAATGAGGCGAAATCAAAGAGCTGGCGTAAGCTCCTTGTACTTCCAAGGT